CTTTTTGCGATCTCTCTTAAGCCCTGCTCCGCCATCGTTTCGCTCAAGCTCGCCTAGTAGGTTGGGCATTGCTTACTTCTGGCCCTGTTACCTACAACCTGTCGTGTGAGTATAAAATTTTCCAAGCCCGGAGAATGTACCGGTCGAATTGATAAGAATGTATCAACTAAATCAGAGAATAAGGACACACACACAAACAAACAAACAAACAAGCACACACACATATTTATGTATGTATAAAGGCAAAAAAACAATAGGAAAAGTGTATTATTAACCGACGCGTTTCGTCCAATGTGAACCTTTTCAAGACAAAAACTAAATGAATTTACTAATTTGCCTTGAAAAGTCGGCAAATAATACACCTTTCCTATTGTCTTTTATTACTTTTGTACATGATGCTGATCAAGTAACACGCTTAAATTCACATAGTTGTGGTACTTGGGAAAAAAAAGCTACTTATATATATATATATATATATATATATATATATATATATATATATATATATATATATATATATATGTGTGTGTGTGTGTGTGAAGAAATATAGTTTTAAGGTGTGCTCTATTTAAAGGATAAAGTGCTCAATATCAGAGATATGTAAATATATAAAGTGAACATTGAAGTCAACCCTCATAGGTGACAGGCTGTTTCATGCTAGACACAATTGTCAGGCCGCACCGTAGCTCGCTAGCTAGATAGATAGATAAATTTCCGTCACGTGTGATATGAAATTGTGTTCAAATGCCTACCTATTGAAAAAAGCTACGAATTTTTGTTCTTCTAGGTACAGCGTCCTTTTAGGGCGTGGTCGATCCTGATTCTCTAAAATTCCCTCTCCTTTGTAACACTTTAATAACGTTTGTCTTTATACCCCCTCATTACTTGTTCTACCATCCATTTATAAGTCTCGTTAACTAGGTTAATCGGTGTTTCCCTCCGTTCTACTTATCTTCAGTATGTCCTGTGAGTGTCGAATTTATCAAGCTTTCTTTCCTCATTATGTATATTAGACATTTCAACTCCTACTTTTTGAAATAAAAAAAAATGTAGTGTCTAAAAAGATACAACGTTCCCCCGAATAAAGCTGAAGAACATATCGGTCGAAATATTTTGATAACAGCAACAAAGTTCACGATAAAATCAGAAATGTGAGTAAACGAAACTACTTACTCTCCTAACTTTAGAGTAAATTGAAATTCTTTTCGTAAACATATTAATATTCGTTTTGTCGGTTGGCTGAGTTCTGTGCCAGAAATTTTCAAAGTGTGTCTGCTTTGTAAATATGGACTAAAGCCAAAAAGAAGAAAAAAAAAAGAACGTGTTTCCTATTGCGCAAATGACCAATCCTACTTTCTTTAGATGCTGACGAAGACAGCAGAACCAACAAGTGCTTCGAACTCCGGTTTTTCTTGCCGTTAATCGCTCGCAGATTCTATTTACTGTTTTGTAATTCAAGGCTGTCGGAAAATCAAGCCCGAGGAGAGAATTTTGACAGGAACAGTCAGCATTTGCATTTAAAATACAGTTCTTCTTCTGCATGTCCTGTCTTTTCAGGACATTGGCGATCATGGCTCTCCACAATTTCCTCTCCATTGTAGCTCTTTTTTCTCTTTTCTCTTTTTTCCATCTCTCCCAAAACCTGCACTGCCATCCATCCACTCAAGCTCAGCAGGTTGGTTATGCATTGCTTTCATCTGTCGCTCTCTCTTACATTCAATCTGTCCTGTGAGTATCAAATTTTCCAAGCCCTCTTTCTTCATTATGTGCCTCAGAAATTTCAGCTGTCTGTTTCTGATGTTAAGTATAAATATCCTTTTTGTTTTCATTGTCTTTGTCGATGTTCGGTCTATGATATTCTCAGCATCCTTCTGTAGATCCACATTTCTGTTGCTTCAATTCTATTCTTCATCTATGAGGAGATTTTCCTGCTTCTACTATCATATAGAAGGATTGATACTATATAACAGTTTTGTAGTTTTTCCTTGTTTCTAATTAAATTTTTCTGTTACTTAATACTTTGCTTAGCTTTTAGAAGGCAACTTCCGCTATCCCAATTTCCGTCCTCTGTTAAAACGCGTCCCGATATCTAAATGGCTGCCCCCGTTTGACAATTGTAAAGATAGGCCATGGTAGGAGGAGTCAAGTGATTTCTGCATTGACAATTGGTGCGGAATATTTTTCCAGCCTCTTTAGCAATGGATCGTATGACTTGCTCGCCGATTGAGCACTATGGGGAAAGGGAATTTTTAAAATAGTAGCTGCTCCTGCTTATAACGCATCGCTCTTCAGTTATGAATTGAGCGCTGCTGATTTAGCATTTATATACATCACGTATATAATAAGTTAAAAGATTCCCTTTCTCTGCCGTGCACCGATAACCTAAGGGTAGATTTTCTGACTGATGCCATTTTTGTTCCTGGCTTGAAACAACCGGATGTCTAGCTAAACTGATGAGGTGTGATACAGCGTAACAAGCTTGTATGTGTGTGTGTGTGTATATATATATATATATATATATATATATATATATATATATATATATTATGTTTCGTCTGAAGTCTGGAGTAAACATCACAGTGGATGTTCATATCATGTAGCCTCATTGAGAGTGAAACCCTTCATCATACCTGGATCAAATCGGGTCTAGCAGAGTGATTATTAGACAGCAATACCATAACCTTGTGTTGAAGCAACATTGGCTTTTGATGACAATCTGGAGCTTCATACTGGCCAAACCTTTGAAAAATGATAGCAAGTTATTATTCAGTAACGTAATGGGCTACCTTCATCCACAACTGATAAGATTTATAGCGCTGACCACCTGCCAATACAACATTTCTTCCTTTATACTTAAAGTAGGAATATCAGGTTTAATAACTGATGTCTGAAGCTTCCTCTCTACGCTTGGAATTTCCACTGTAAACACGGCCTTGTGCCACGTTCTGTTTCTACTTTTTTATGTTTTTACGGTTCATCAACCCTTTTGTTCTTTATTAAAAGCCAAAACATATATTGCATTTTAAGATTTATATTTTTTTAAAGTAAATTTTGAATATTAAAAAGTCTTTTAGAATAATTATTTTTCCAGATACAAGTCCTGCTATTAAACCCATAGCTGGGAGAGGAGATATTTGCGTATAAATGAATGGAACGAACCCAGAATTGGAATTTGAACTCGACTCTCTCATTTCTCATTCCGAATTCTTACCCTCTTACATCACCTGCACATCAACGTTTCCTGTTGTCACGCAAAGCATCGTGTGTTAATTTGTGATGGACATTTTTTCTGATATTTGGTAAATTCATATTGCATTCAATTTTCGAGTTACTTTAATTTCATTTTAAATTTATCTGAATTTTTTGGTATCGATAGCTTTACATCTAAGAGTCATTTCTTAATCCGTTTAATATAGATTCTTTTCCGGTATCTTTTTGAATTAATCAGTTGCAACAATGAGAGGACATCTTCCGTCTTCTTCCTCTTTGAAAAGTTCATACCCAACTTTAGAACGTAGAACTAATTGATTGTTTTTACAGTTTATCAACCTTTTGCAGGTTATTTAAAGCCTGCAAATATGTTTGGATTTTAAGAATTTTCGGACATAATAATGGTTTACTGATACAAATCTTACTAATTAACCCATAGCTAGGGGGAGAAGAGGTTGAATCATACTTTTCCCAAGGGTCTTTACGCGTAAGTGAATATAAGGAACTCGACTGGAATTGGAACTCGGCCAATTCTGAGTCGTTATCTGTCACGCTACTCACATATCCAAGCTTATAGTACCTGGTATTTCCAGGTGGTCACCCTTCTAGATACTGAGCAAGCTCGATGATGCTTAACTTCTGTGATATGGTCGTAAGCCTTTAGAACGTAGGAAGCAAATGATACACTCTATGATCTGAATTTGTACCCATTTCGAGTAATATGATATTGAGAAGCCTTTGTGGCCAGATCTAAATTCTTGCAAGAAAATGATGTGGAAGTCTTTCATTTTCATTTTAAACATTACGTTAAAATCAGCAAAGTATTAGCAATTTTAACGTTCAGTCAGAAAATTATTAATTATTTAAAAAACAAACAACCCCCCCCCCAAAAAAAAAATGTTACATTTTAATAATACTCTATGGACTTGAATAAATATTTTAAATCAAAATATGTATTATTTTTACTGAAACTTATGTTTTTCTTGCTTATACAACATAAAAATGAAGAATAGACTTTAGGCATAAAAGATGTACTTCTACCAACAAATTCAGCGAATAACATTGACTGGTTATATAACTAACAGGGAAGTTTTCATGAAAATAGGACAGACAATAAAATTGCTATTAACAATCAGAAAATAAAGCACTTATTGAATAGGAAAATATCCTTTTTCGGAAATTAAACAAATTAATAAGCAGGAGGAAAATATCCTTAGAAACAAAGAAAAAAAATACTGAGCTATTATGTAATATCTTGGCTCCAAAATGGCAGTCACTGCTGAACAATTGTATCATAAATGAGGAAACCAGTTGAAGCGACAGAGATGTGGTTTTGCTGACAGAAAATGAGAGCAATTAAAGTCTTAATGAAAATAGATGCAAGAAAACGTACCAACAATCCGACAGAGACAGCCAAAATCTGAAAGTGCATGCTAAGAGTATAAGTTATCTTTTAGAAACAAAGAAAAGAGTACTGGACTATGTAATATCTAATCTACTTTATGACAACGAAAGTTGTCAAATCTCCTCACAGGTAATGGGACTCGAAGGGACAGACTTCTTGACATTTTTTGCTCTTCTTATCGTTTGACTCTTTACCATTTGTCCCTCTTATTAAGTAAGTTACTCGCAGTTTTCTCCTGCCAGACCTTTCTTTAGTCGGCCCTGTGAGTGTTAGATTCTCTAGGCTATCTTTCTTCTTTATGTGTCCCAGAAATTTCAGTCTCTTTTTGATTGAAAGTATAAATACTCTTGTCCTTAAAATATATTCGTCGCTGACATGCTCTGACTTACGGCCACATCACGTTGAAATACCGCTTTTCGTACGATCACCGAAGTTAAGCAACGTCGAACCTGGTCAGTACCTAGATAGGTGACTGCTTATGAAAATACTAGGTGCCGTAAGATTAGATGCGCGGGTGGTGTAATGGATAATGATTCAATTGTTATAGGAGAGCCGAGTTCCAATTCCAGTTGGGTTCGTTATGTTCACTTACGCGCAAATACTCTTGGGGGAGGTATGAATCGATCTTTTCCCTCCCTGTACCTATCTCTTCTCCTCCTGTGTACCAAATACAAGTGTCGGCACGATTAAATTATTTCTACCTCCGCACCGAAACACGTCGTTTATTTAATCCGAAACATTTATTATTTTAAAAATATTTTTCTCTGCGCTACTGGCCTTTGTTTCCACGTTTACTAAACTTAGAAAATTCCCGACGGAACAGTTATTTGAACCGGCATGCTTATTTTACAAGGTGAAATATTCCCACTGGCATTATTGTTTCAGATGATACTTGAATTTGGTAGAACATTATCATTCTTCTCTGCCTTTCTGTTTAGACCAGCTTACACTTCTTCTTTGTTATATTTACTATGTTTCGACTATTATACCCTTCAGCCTTCTTCAGATGTCTGTCGCACTAGGTGACCGTCTTGAATGTTTGAATTGAACACTTTATTCACTCAACAGATATAGTAATTTCTGGACCACCTTCTGGATTTCATAATACCATATTTAACTCCAAGTATCTACGGGGAGGCAAGTGGTAAGGATCAGTTGAAGACATCCCAACGCAGGCCAAAATCAACCCTGAGCCCTGGGAAAAACGTTGTTGCTGCAAGTCAGCATTCCTGGCGTAGGACTATCCGAGGTGGGGTCGGGGCGTGCGAAACTTTCGAGTCCAACCGTCAACGTGTAGAGCCAGCCTCGTCACCACGCAAACTCCTCTGTAACTCTTCAGGAGTAGGTTGGCCCTTCACAGCCGTCTCCGCCACCGCCACCAGAAGGGAGAAAGGGAACAAGATAAGAGGATGACGATCCCGATGCTCAGATGCGAGCTGGTGCTGAAAGTATTTACCGCATCAGTGCATGGCATATTCCGTAAGACGTGAACCTGGGATTGAATTCCTGACACCCACAAAACCAAGTTTGCTTTAACAAAATTTACTCGACTATATTTTTATTCTTTTTTTTTTTTTTATTTGTGGAACCCATTTCGATCTTCGAGTGTCTCCGAATTTTTGGATGGCACTTCTTATTCAATGCTCCCCGCCCCCATAACAAGGTTCAATCTCAATGTGATAATCTACACGAATATATACGTCATCCCGAAGCGAAAGTTTTATTTTCTTTTTTTTTTCTTTTTTTTTTTTTTTTTTGATTTTTCTTCACTGGCTTGACGTCACTTTTTTCCTTGCTTTTCTAGAATTTCCAGTCTAATACGTCAACGTCTTCAGGAAATGGCTTGATAACAGAAGTCTATGATTGCAGCTGACACACAGGTTTCGAAAATAATATCAACGATACGGAATTACAGTTGGCGAGGATTGGCAAAGATTTGCTTTATACTTTGGGGAAGATTACATCACTAGCCACTGGTAAAGGTTGGCTAAGGGGGTAACAGCTGCTGCTGTCTGGGCAGATAAGGTATACATTTTATTATTAGCTCCTCTTCATCATATTATTGTTGCTTTTCATCACAAAACTGTTCTTTGACACATTTAATAATAATAATGATAATAATCTTTGAAGATGTTTGAGAAACAAGGCAAATACCAGGACCTCGAGATAGGTATCAATAGAATGTGTCATCGGAAGAAAACAACATTACCTGTTGTTACTGGAACTGTGATAATGATACCAAAAGTAGCAAATATGTGGATCAAAATCCTGGCTGACCTGAAATATGTGAATTGCAAAAGATCGTTCTCAAGGCTACTTATCATGTCGTGTATATTTTTCTCTCTATGTACTGACCACAAATGCATGGTTTTTACCTGATTGCATGGCACCTCATTTGTCGGCATTTTTTTATAGAAAAAAAAAACCCTGTTATCTCTTGACGTCTCTGGTTTAAGACTTGGGGTCACAGCATGTACTACAAAGGTAAACAATAATATTAATAATAATTATTATTATTATTATTGACATGTCAGTTCCTGCAGATTGTCATGTATATTTGAAGATTTTCAAAACCTATCAAAAAACAAAGATCTTGAAATGGAAATCTCAATAATAAATCCAGTTGTAGTTGTAGCCCTCGGCTTGATTGGAAAAGATTTCGATAGAGTCGTTGAAGCGATTCCTGGTAGCGCATGCCTTACAGAACATTGTACAGCACACACATTATTAAGGACCCTTATCTATATAAAATGTATATGACCTTAAGATTTTTTTTTTTTTTTACAAAAATGATCAGTGAAAAATATCATGAAGCCTTAGGTCTCTGGCTGGGACCCAGAAGAAAATATGTATACAACAGAAATCAAGGGAAACTGAAAAAGCTCTTATAGTTTTTTTTTTCCAAAAAAAGATGATCTTAATAATAATAATAATAATAATAATAATAATAAAAGAAAACTGAAAAAGCTCTTACAGCAAACTGGAATTGAGAATGTAGACTTCCAGGAAACTGCCATCATTTATTCCGCGAGGATCCTTCAAAAACATTATGAGAAGCCTTGTTGACACCATGAAAAGTATTTCCATTACGTCAAAGTGCCACACAGAGATAATAACTGTAGATTCATATTATTTAAATGTGTATATAAAATAATCTTTGGAGTAAAAGTTCAAAAACAGTGTTTTTAATAATAAGAAGACATAGAAACCTCGGGTGAATTGAAATTGAGAGCAAGATTGTAGACCACCAGAAAACCTCCATCATTGACACTGCGAGGATTCTATGAAAGTTTCTTCAGTTGTGAAGATTTTTATTGGCACCGGGCCTCAAGAACAAGATTTCTATCGACTTTGCCAGTGTGTGACACCAACATAATAATAAAGAAGGCACAAATCTTGGAGATATTGGACTGCACTTTGGTAATAGAGTCACGGGAAAAATACAGGCCTGATCAGAACAGGAAGAATATTTCCGAAAGTATTTGACACAGGCTGTTGATGAAAGGTACAAATAAATTGGTTTATTTTCTTAAGCCACGAGAGGTGAGCTTTAAATAAACATCTTACCAGCCACCAACATCATATTCTGTGTGAAAGAAGGGAAATAATAATGATGATGATGATAATAATAATAATAATAAGAAGAAGAAGAATAAAGAACAATCTAAACTAACCACACAGACATTGTTATTAAAGAAAACAAACAAAAAAGTGCTTCCTTATTGATATGGCAGTCCCTGCAGACTGCAATGTATCTTTGAAGATCTTCAAAAAGCTATCAAAATACAAGGACCTTGAAATAGAAATCTCAAAAATGTGGTACATGAAAACATCAACAATCCCTGTTGTAGTTGGAGCTCTCGAATTGTTTGGAAAAGATTCCAGTAGACTAATTGAAGGGATTCCTGGAAGTCCATGCCTTAAAGAAATACAAAAAATTATTCTCACGAGTACAGCCTACGCCTTACCAAGGGCTTTATCTATGTAATTTTGTGTGTGTGTGTGTGTGTGTGTGTGTGTGTGTGTGTGTGTGTGTGTGTGTGTGTGTGTCAGTAGAAAATATCATGATGCCATTTCTAACCTTAAGTCTCTGGGCGGGACCCGGAAATAAATGTGTACACACCAGAAATCAAAGGAAATAATAATAATAATATCAGACGTCTTCTTGTTTATCCATACAATAATGTGGGCTTATACACTCTTCTTTATTAAAATTTCTTTATTAATAGTTGTACTCCGTCTTATTTTTGCTTTTTATCACGAAACTCTGGGTCAAATACTATCTTCATTAATACGTTTTTTTTTTTTATTCCTAGTTTTATACAATCTTATTATTGTGGCTTCTTATCCCAATATTCTGGGTCGATACATTCATCCTTTATCACAAGTTTGTTGGTTCACAATCACGTCGAAACACCGATATCCGTACGATCACTGAAGTTAAGCAACGTCGACCCTGGTCAATACCTAAATTGCTGACCATTTGGGAATACCATGTGTTGCAATGTATGTGTGCGTGGTTTTCTGTTGGATTTCTGGCTCAGAAGCCTTTATTGGAGAATCGAGTTCCAATTCTTGTTGGGTTCGTTATATTCAGTTCGGTATGAATTCACCTCTTCTCCCCCAGCTATTAGTTAATTAGTAAGACTTATATCAGTAAATTATTGTTATCTCCAAAAAATTATAATATTCTAAAAATATCTTCTGGCTTTAAGTAACCTGCAAAAGGTTGATAAGCCGTAAAAACAACCAACCGATTTTATTCTTAATTTTTATCATAACATCAACAACAACAAAATAGTTTATTAGTTAATAGTTTGCTCCAGATTCAAACACACTTACACTTGTCGCCATCAACCAGGATGGTATTTCAGTGATGAGGGATATCCTCAGGATATTTGGCAATGGCTTAGGTTTTAGATCAAAGTAGGTTCATGTCAACATTAAATTATCCAGGCCATATTTTCTCATTCTATATCCCAAAAACGTCAGTCTCGTTCTGATTGTAAGTATAAATTCTCTTGTACTTCCTATTTTTTCTTTTCTCGCTCCCCGGCATAAGTCGCTCGAACCACATCTCTCTGTCACACTTGAAGTCTTTTCGCCATATGTGAAGAAATTGCCCTAGTCTTCACTATCAGTTCAGTTACGCTTTTCTTTGTTTCTAACGAACATTTCCAATCCCTTAGTTTTTGAAAGGCATTTTTTCTATTCCTATGTACAGTGGGGATGCTTTTCCCCAGTTTATTAGTACAAAGTGAACATTGGCAACCCTAGCCGAAATTCTAACCCGGTTCATTCTGTTTTTGTTACTTCATTCCGTCCATACGAACTGGTGATTATCTTGAAAGATGAGAAACTGAAACCTGAACGAAGTACCGGCAAAACCAGAATGTTTTTAAAAGTCATTTCATTTGTTATATTTAAAGACAGTCTTGTCATGGAGACTAGCGCACAACAATAGTTGGAAAGTACACCCTTGCTAGACAATGCGCTACGC